GTTGTTGTGAAATATATTCTACAATCTCGGGAAACGCCAATGGTTATACTCCGTCGTTGATCACTAACTTGATCACTGCCATTTCTGATCAGGGGAGACCGGTCTTTCATGTATGATCACAGTATTCTCATAAGGTACTCTGGTGCTTTGCTTTCACGAAGCTCAGTGTCGATGTGATGCCAAGGTATGGAGTTAAATGCGTTTCACCAAAACCCAGTAAAATTGTTTGTTTAGGTCACACATTTAACGGACCACATCCACGTGGGATTTTACGACCGCCAATTCATTTACCGTTTGCGAAATGTAATTACAATGAACAAGCAACCAATCGTGATAAAAGACGAACACGTTACAGCGTTGGTCGGTACACTCAGTGGTAAGATTTCGGTGTTTAAAGCCACATTGGTGCAAATCAAATATTTCCGAAAAATACAGGACGTGCTCTGCACGAACTTCGTGATCTTGGACAGCATGCTACGCCTTTGCGACAAGATGCTCAGGACGCTGAAAACACACTACGACGACGGTCGTATGGTTGGGCGTGGAAGGTGTACTTTAGATTGCTGGCCGTCGAGAATTGGGAAGAAAACCACGAGCACATCGGAGAAGATCTATTCGCCGACGTAGAGATCCGCGAAAGCCTCGGCTCGTTGATCGACCTTTGCGTGGTAAACAACTATCTGCAGGCCGGCTACGGACGGCAATTCGATATTGGCAGGGCGTCGGTGGACATTGAATACTGGATGGATGCCGTGGTGAGACCGTTGAATAGCCCGCAACTAGAGAGCTGGACAGGGGTTTGCTGTACCGCGAGCAAGTCGTCGTTGAACTTGAAGACGTTGTATCCGAAGAACGAGGAATTGATTTTCCAGTCGGTCCCTACCGTGGTCATCGACTGGTCCGGAATCCGACGACTGCTGAAAGAAGAACACAGGACTAGGAACGCCACCGACTACCGAGAATGGATAACGGATCCGTTTAAAAACGTCAAATGCCAACAACTGTTCTTGGACATAATGAAGGTGAAACTATACTGTTACATTTGGGCGTATTTGTCCGTCGTTTGCGACATTGTGGACAACAGAGAAGTAATAGGCCGTAAGGAGCACGCGAAATTTATGGAAAAATTGACGGCTACGTTGGAAAAGGATTTCTTCAGTACCGACGTTTTCTTCATTGGCTTGTTGAACGATTTGGTCGAAAACAAAACGCCGGTAAAAAACAAGTTTACCGAAATGGCGACAGCGCTGGGTACCGAAGTGAATACGATTTTGACCAAGTGGAACCAACCATCGAAACAATCTGACCGCGGCGCCTACATACGGGAAACTGTAGGGTTAGAGCTTGCCTATCTAGGCGAACTTGGCTTCAAGTTAAATGAATATTTTTCACTAATCGCCAAAACGTTGTACGTCAAAGTGAGTGATATCGCTTTTTTCCTACAAGGCATCAATAATACCGACAATAGAATTTTTCCTAATTATTAAAAACTGCAATTAAAAGATGTGTAATACGTTGATTTAAATAATTTATTAAAAAAATGTTCGTATTTGTTTAAGAGCTCTTTCTGAATTACAGTCATTATACACATATTGTAGTATCATGTAATTTTTTTACAGTTGTAAACAGGCAAACAATTTTCCCGCATTTTTCTCAAAAACCACTTTAGTAGTAAACATGTCTTCGTTTATGTAGTGCTGTCATAATATAATAACATGTTTTTTTTTCATTGTGTTACATAGATTTCTAAAACTGAGTAAATAAGTAAAAAACATATTACGCCGTTTGGCTTATACTTGTATAATATTAAATATGCATGACTGTCGTATGTTGTTATAGCCATTTATATGCCATGAATTACTTTGATAACCCTGTACTATATTTCAAAACTTAAATAATGATAAAGAAATAAATAAAAGTATATGATCATAAAATCCGCTTTTCATATTTTGTAAGAACTATAATAATATTGTTAAAAAAATGAAACTCAAAACCCAAATTCCATACTGAATGTTGAGTATAAAAATTCTCAAACAATACTTTGGGTAAGGAGTATTTAATGATATTGACAAATGTAAAAACCAATGCCATAAGAAGTTACACTATGCTCGTACTGATTTCCTACTATTTTTGTGTTGTTTATCTTTCTAAAAAAAAAAAATCACTTAATTATTTTGACATAATCAATTCAACATCGATTTAACAACATTATACAATATTCGAAAATTAAAATTAAAAGTGAATTGTTAGCAAATAAAAAATAAAATATTATATTTTCCGTGTAATATTAAGAAATAACTGAAAAATATGATTTATGTTGTGCATTTTTTTCGCGGGGGATTTATTTTAAAATATGCAAATTTCTTCAAATAGGGTATTATCCCTGAGTATGCAAAAATATGCAAAACAATCTTTTCCTATGCAGTCTCTGTTAAACAAATCGTCCACATTTCTTACTGCCACTTGACCTGTGTTGAGCCAAGACAAGGTAGGAAAGGCTTTGGGCTCTTCTCTTTGGATTTTCGCCAAAATATACAAGTTGGTCGCAATCGGGTGGCCATAACTGTAATCGTTTTGACGAACGGAGAAGTAAAACAAAAAAACAGATACTGTAATTTCGGGGGACTTAAGACGGTAGGATGCCACTGGACAAAAATGGGGATATTTTGTTATTCTCGATTGGCCACACTGTCAGTCCGTTATAAAGTGGCATTATTGATCAGCAAGCATGTGAGTATAATCGGTGCAAAAAAAATTAAATTCACGAATTACTTAAACTATATTGAACATATTTTATACAAACATTTGTTGGTTAAAATTAGGCATATGGATATGGCCTGAACTCCAATGGCGGGAACTGCTCGAGAAGGAAACGCAAAAGGCAGTCGAACCGGCAGTCGCGACCGAGGTGGAAATCTTTTATTTTCCCCCAAGAAACTGCCTTCGAATTATATTATGTCAACACGATTTCCGCGTAGGACGGTATATATAATACGCATACGGTTCGGAGGTCCTGGAGGGAAATGTGATTTGATTTTATTTGCTTACCGGTGGCGACGAGGGAAAACGCCCGCAGCCATGATATTATTATGTGCTCGCCTAACCGAAAGTTGGAATATTATATTTGTTGTATAATACACGACAACCGGAATCCCGGATTTCCGGGCAAACGTAAAAAACAAACATCCCCTTAACGTGCTCCACCTATGAACGCAATCGGATTCCAAAACGGAAACGACGCGATAACGACGATATGGTTTTCATCGACATAATATTGTTTTGTCATCGAAGTCGAAAATCAGGCCAAGTTACCTTATTAACTTGGAAAAACGAAACGAGTCAGCTAAAAAATAACAGGGCGAAAATATTAAATATCCATGAAACACTCGTTGTTTGTCTGGTTCTCTGCAGGGAGCTAAATTCAACTTGAAACAGTCTACATTTCTTTGTTCTTTTTAATTATTTTCCAGAGCTCAATCAACCATTAACTTGGCGTTGTATTTTTAAAGATACACACAATATGTTACATACAACTTTCCACAAACAACCTAAAAAGCACTATTTTTTTTTTTTTTTCGATATTTATTTAAAAATTTACCCTTGCCAAAGTTAACAGTTGATTAAACAAATACGTTACTATTTAAGTCTTAAAAATTGATAGAGCTTCGAAAAGTAATAAATGATTCCAAAAAATATAAAATAGCAATATTATTTTAAGAAAAAATTTAGGTCATTGTGTGTGGTGAGTTTAATGCGTCCATTAGTCTCAAAAAAAAAACTGAATATTGAAAACCTGAAAATTGAAATTATTGTTCATCTTAAAAACCTTTCAACTTACTCAACACTTGACGATTAACACTCTTCGCTTAACTTTACTACAACTAAACAAATATTCCATTCGGACATAACGTCTAAATGAAAAGTTTCAAAATATATGTAGTGTAACGTTCTACTGGTGACTAAAAAAAAGAAAAACCTGTTTTGGTTAAATAGGAATTCATTTACTTCAACCGTACTACAAAATAAGTAGAATAAAAAACATTTTTTCAAGATGAGAATACGGTTAAAGGGGAAAAAAGGCAACGTCGTCGAAAACGAGAAAAATCCAAAGAACCGAAAGTATAGAAAAATGTCCACCCCGTCTGGCCTGAAAGGGTTGTTTTCTGTTTTATTTATTTTTGTACTGTCCTCGTCGATGTCAAACTTAACCGACTGTTATAAACCGATTAACGTTTACTTGGGTACTTGTTAGCGAGTTCTTTGAAATCGTTCTGGAAATATATAATAAGGACACCGAGTGCCATTACTACATAACAATACACATTAAACTTTCTGCTTTATTTCGTCGAAGTTCAAAAGGGAGAAATTTATTTTTTTAAAGTGGTTTACCCTTGGTGATTTTCAAGAACGTCATGTTCTCGTCTAATTAACCGACCCGCTGAAATTAGACAATTTTTATACTAATTACATTGACATTGTTGACTGTCAAATCCGACGGGAAACACCTTTTAAAATTGTGGAAAAAAAAACCTATTCGTTATTTTATATATTTTAACCTGGTAATTCTGGTCATTTAATTGAGAGACATCATTGAAGTAGGTATTGAACATTTAATATTTCATAACGTTATATTCGACCTCGATCGATCGAATCTGTTTGAAAAACATTTGTTAATTTGAAAAAAAAACTCAAGTGTCATATAAAAAATGGGAACGATTTTTAAGTGTTTATTTCAAAGCACTCGCTGAGGGTATGTTGTTTGTGTTTTATATTATGTGGCGCCTCTTTACAAATCATTTTGCCAGACACCACGTGTTGGTCTACACGTCAACAAAAATGTAGTGTTTACTTAAAAAAAAAAAAAACTATTTTTGAACAAAAATAACCGTGCGGCCACTAAGGTCGTGTCGTCTTTGTTCCACAGAAATTCAAGATAAATTCCAACGAATAAAACTACTTCTGAATCAATATACTTAATCTTAATATTATACCAGCTCTACCTTTGTGATACTGTCGCAGCCGTGACTAACCGAAAGTCGTCATTACTTTAACGTGTCTTTGCACATAAAATTAAAAAATACCGCGTAAATAAATAAAACGTTTATGTCTAAATAATAAAAACAAATTGATTGCATTACAGTTTCGAACAATATTTAATTGCATTTTGGACACAGCAAACGTAAAATGTAATAAATAAAATATAATATGATATACAACTTTTCGTTTTTTTTTTCTTCAAAAAAACATTATTATATTATTTTTCTAACCGTAAACAACTATGACGGACGGCGTTACTGTTGTGCCATCTTCTTTTTTAGAGATTCCGGCATTTCCGGTGGTGGTGGTCTGGGCAACCTCAAAGACACTTTGACCGCGTCGTAGATGAACCACTGAGCCGACGTCAGCGTACCGACCATTATGATCCTGGGTCCCAATCCTTGCCACAATCCTGTGCGCGAGAAAAATCATTGTGTTTTCACGATTTAACTTTGTTTCCGGCTAAACCTCTTACCCATGAAGCCGATTTTCTTGACGATGTCGCCTGCGGACGCGCCCTTGGCTTGGTTCAACTTGGAGACCAACGTGTCGGCCGGATGCGATACAACAGCGCAGAAAACTCCAGCTATGTAACCGGCAGCCGAAGTGACGATCAGCTGTTCGCCCTTAGTGCATTCGGACCTAGGTTTCGGCACCACGTGTCTAAAACAAGAAACATTAGAATTATTTACGTATAGATACGTTTCAAGGTTGGGATTCAATCTTTTATTTCCGTGTCGATAATTTCCCGTCACAGTTTTCACACGACGGTGATAAGAAACAGCTGATAATGGACCAGTGATAAGAAACAGCTGATAATGGCTCCTGAACAAAGATAATGAAAGAACGGACAGCGCGTGAAGCTTACCGCCTGAGAATAAAATGATAACATTTTAAAGGTCATACGGGGTCGTTTATTTTCAAAAGTCGAAAAATGTTAAGAAATTAACGAATACAAATAATAATATAGCTGTTATTTTCTACATTGGTTGTAATAGAAACGTTTATATTATTGTGTTGATCGTATACTAATTGTTATACTCATAACCTTAAGAAAACCATCTTACCGTTTGTCTCTCTCAAATCAGTTTAACCTTTATATCTTCCTCAAAAATGACCGCGACTTCTTACAGTACTATCTTTGGCGTGTCCTATCCATCCTTATATTATCTAGTATGTTCTTGATAATAAACAGATCAGTAAAAAGAGAAATCTGATAACGGCTCCTGATAAAAGAATAATGATAAGAGACGGCTGATAATGGCTGCCTATTTTAAATCTCCTGCGCTAGATGTAAAATTTCCCATTTGATTAGAAATCAAGAACACTCCCTTATAAGCTTTCCGTTTTATTATTGATATTAACATTAATAATATAAATATGTTTATAATATAAACATTCTGTTAAGACTGTGAAACTTTTGTATAGTGTACAAAAGATTATACGACTGTTGTTGTACTACACAAAAGATAAAAAGGAAAATAATTATATTTAATAATTTAAAATTTTCCTCGGTTGTAAAAAGAAAAAATTATATTCATGTTTTTTCATTATAATGCATGTATTAAATAAAGAAAAAGAAAATATTTTAAAAAAACGTGGCACAGACTGCAGTTTTTTCTCTTTTTTTAAACTCCTATTTGCTTTGATCTTTTTGTATATTTTAATTGGCAATTTTTCCCCCAAATCAGATTATGCAAAACGAGCTCGTTTTGTTATAAAATATTTCAATCTCATCGTAGAGGTATACATATATATTATATAAATTATTTTCAGTAGATAAGCGACGGTTGCGAGCCGTTGTTTGCCCGGCTAACCTTTTCTTTACACTACTGTTGATGAATATCTTATCGTATAATATATAATAAGACAATTATGTTGTTACAGTAAGGCATTTGTTCTACTGAAACTTTTCGAAGATAAACATTTAATTTACCAACAAATCATTTGCTATCGTTTCGATCTAAGTCCAATCAATCAACTCCCGAACTCGATATTATAAAACAAATACAGTGTGTAAGATTTTATAAAATATATAAGTTAATCGATGAGTAGTATATTTTTTTAATGTTATTATAAGTTATAGAATAAGTTCAATTGAGTCAGTTTTGTCATTTGAAATAATTAAATTACAAAGCCAAAAAAAACATGATGTATCGTATTATTCGATATTTTTCTAATGAATAATAAATAGAAACTTTAATATATTCCACTATTTTTTTTTTTATGTTTTACGTTCAAGTATAGAATCGCATTGTATGTTCATTAAAACAAACATGTAAAAGTATGATAATTTATAAAAATATAAATCAACCTAAGTGCATTTTTTCTTGTGCAAATTGAATTAATATAAATTGGTATAATTTACATAATATACAAACGGCTACCGGGAAGCAAATACTCGAAACATGCTGGCCTTATTATTAATTTATAACATGCATTTCGTGGTGAACCATCATCAACAAATGCTAGTTCAGTAATTAAAATTCAATTGGAATATTTGTTTTTTTGTTTCTATGAAGTTACTTTGGTAAACGTGTAATGAAACAATTATTATTCTGGAATTTTTTGTTTTGTCAAAAGTCAAACAATAATATTATTATATTAGATTATAGTATGTATTCCGACAAAGTCTTACATATAAAGCAATCGTCAAGTATATTAAAACGTAATAATTACAGTTTATTATCAATGAGCAAAAGAAATTTGGTCAAACCGATACACCTAGCATAATAAATAATTGAGTTATAAGAAAATAAAAACAAAATGTTTTATGTTATGTGTGCCAGCGACTAAAACTAAAGTATCAAAATAAATATACTAAATTTGATAAGTTCTTATCACTTTTCAGTTCATTGTCCCCTATCAGTTCTTATCACATCATATCTCTTATCAACTCACGTTCTTTTATCAATAAACATTCTTATCACTACATTTTATTTTCTATCGGATTTCCTCTGAATGTTTGCGATTTTTTTCAAAAGGTGTTAAATGTATTTTTTTTTTTAATTCATAGATTGAGTTAAATGATTTAATATTCTATTACTCTTCTGTAAGTGTAGCGACAACCTAATAGGATTGCTGTCTTACATCCAACTGAATTTGTTTCATAAACGACTGCCTTAGTATTTTCCCTTCCATTGTGGTTGAGAATTAAACCTACCATTGTTATTAATTCAAGTAGATAATTAGGAACTTGGATGTTTTTTATGTTAAATCATAACCGCAGTACGAAATGTTATAGCTCACGTCTTAACGTGTTTTTACTCAATTATTAAAATCATAAGAATAAAAAAATTATATTCATTTAAAACATTGATAAGATAGAGAGATAAGACAAAGTTGTTAATTATTGTAGTAACATTATTTACATTTATGAAAACTACTCGTTTAAAAAATTATACTTAAAGGGTTGGAATATGCAAATAGTAGTTGCCCAACGTGACAAGTAAGCCATTTAATTTAGGTTAGGTCTTAAGTGTCTGACTTGGTCATTGAAGCCGATATAAAATTTTTAAAAATAAAGGGATTTAACCGCAAAAAAAATGTAGAAATTCTTCGTACACTCGTTTACAACTTTCGTGAAGAGATCGGTTCAGGTGTTAAGACCCAACCTCGGGTAAACAATAAGGAAAAACTAATATTGCACCTTAAAACCAACACTATTCCGCTGTGTATCGAAGCCGAAAATAAGAACACTTGTAGCTGACGTAATGGGAAAAACAAACTGCTTTATAAAACACAACAATATTTGACTCGGTTAAACGTTAAGACTCGGAGTGTGATTTATTCGAATCTATCCATCGCAGAAAAACATTGGTACACTCCTTAGTACTTTAACGTTGCTCGTTCATCATATTTTTGGATCTGCTACCAACAAATCGGAGCGGGCACTACGAATGCTAAACATAAATCAATTTGAAACGAAAGGCGTTGCGAAAATGATTTTCACAAAATGTTGTGTACCTAGTATAACTATTTTGATAGTCACCATTGTACAAGGACAATGTGATAAAAGGTCTCGACAATTTTACCGGCACAAAGATCACTGAAACATATTTAAGAAACACATTCCAAGAAAAAACGTATTAAGTTACGAGACCAATTTAAAACATATTTGCCATGTTTTAAATCTTGTTTTTTAATTATACAACTTAAACGGTCCTCCATATGGTAACTTTTATAATGATGATAAAATTAATAACCTGCCTCGACGTATATCTTTATTTAAATTTCACATTGAATCTACTGTACTCATAAAAAAACCCAACTGTACCATCAAGTTTCCTAGTGAAATATTATGTTTGAATTTCCCCGTGTTCATTTTATATCTTAAACGAAATGTAATCTTCACCAACACAATAATTTTATTCTTAGTGATAGACGACGTAGTGTATATATTTTTAAAGTCAGTCCAAATCTAACTTAAACTTTAACCTGACCAATTCGAATCTAACCAACCTGAGTACTGAGACATAGCATGGGTATCGATTCAATATCTAATAGTATTGTTTGCCAAACATGTTTTCGAAAATTATGATGGCCGTATAAAGGTTAGGATATAACCACAAGGTTATACAAGGTGATCATTTTATCGTGAACCACTCAATATCTCATTGGGTTTGATTAGTAATTAAACTTTTTTTGTTCCATAGTGTTTTCGTGTGATCTCAATTTTCCACGAATTCTTATTACTCTGGATGTCACCGGATGTCTTATGTCCAGCTGATTGTCTGTATCTTTTTGGGGCTGATTGGGGCTTGTCAGTCATCCAGGAACCGTCGATTTATGGCACCCCCCCCCCTACCTAGAAGTAACCGAAAGGTATTGCTACTCACTGGTACAGCAACTCGATGGTCTTTTCGAAGCAGGCGAACTTCATCATGGTGTACGGCATTTGTCTCATCCACAACGGCACCAGACTCTTGTAGAACCCGTTGAACCCTTCGGATTGGTAAATTTTCGGCAACGCTTCCCGCAACGTGTTGGCGAATCCCGGTTGCGTCTGGATGCGGACCTGGGGGCGTAGGGAAAGCAAATGTAAAAAAAAAAAAATATATATATTCATATTATACCAAACGTTTGCCAACATAAATATTTATTGAATTGCCGAACCGGTGGGCCGTGTGTAACGCGGTGCACATGTCCCGTTTTCTCACGGGTAGAAATTTCAACAAAAAAAACCAACAAAGAACAGGGGGGGGGGGTGCGTTGGGGTCCGCGCTTAACGATACTATATTTTAATAAGAAAAAAACATGAAATAAATACTTTGTTGGATGACGGGAGAGGCAATATAGAGCTCCCAAAGCGTTTGGACGGAGAGATGAAGAACCGCAAGCAAGCGTGTTTGTCGGCCGCCGCCAAGGTGAAAATATATTTTGCGCTTAAGTATAACAATAATGTGTTTGTACGGCTTTTGAACAACCGCCGGAACGCACAACGAAAAATAAAAAAACACTTTGTTAAAGAGCCCGCACTCTTGAATAATTGTATGCTTTTCCAACGCATAAAAAAGTTCAACGCGTTATCAGACTTTTTATCTCTTCTGCCAGCTGATAAACGCGTTATTTATCGCAGCAAGAAAAACCGCAAGAATTTTGTTCCAACCGGTAAAACGCAACTTTTTTTATTTTTTTCAAAAATTCAACATGTCATTTTGTTGAGAATGATTTGCTGAGAATTTTGACTGGTCCATAACCGGTTTTGGATTATTACTTTTCCAGTTATTAAATGGTAGGTGGAGTGCGGTAGATAGTTATTTTTATCTGCATCTACCGTATTCCATCTCCCATCCTGCCCTGTAATTTTTAAGTAACTTTAAAAGTAATTATCCAAAACTAGTTGCCGACCAGTCAAAATGTCCAGCAAATTATTCTTAATAAAATGGATGTCTTGAATTTTTTTAAATAAGTGTAACAAAATAACGTAGTGCTTATAGCGCAAATGAGTATAAAAAGTAATTTTAAAAAAAATTACTAGAACAAAAGTTCATTTGTCTTATCTTTGTGGGACGCTCTGTATGTATTATATTAATATAATATAATATGCAAAAAATAATATCAAATATGTTTGGAAAAACCCAGGTAAACCTATTTTTTGATATCTTTTGCATTGTAAAAAATGAAAAAATATATGTGTAGAATGTAAAATAATCAAGTAATAATTCCAAACTTGTCACCAATTATGTCTCATTTCTCAGTCAAATCTAATAAGACAATATTATACTTTGAACCACAAAGTACAATATTGTCTCATTTCGAATAAAAACAATTATTTCCCAAAACTTCTTTTATACATTTTTTTTTTTGGTAAGAAACAATATTATTCCTATCAATTCATAAATGTACATCAATTCCCTTTTAACCGACGTGTTAATGCGTTGTTGACGGACAGCTACGCTCTTAACTGTAAATAATATTAACTTTAAACCAAAGCTCCTAAACGATAATATTAGGTTAGGTGAATCGAAAAATGTGATTGGTCTCTTATCGTTATGATACATATTATTATATATATATTTTTTTTGTTCCTCGATTTCTACTTGTGATTGGAATAAACCACACAGACAACAAAGGTAAAGCACAATTAATAGCGAAAATATTATACAATAATATACTGATGAAAACCAAGGCTTATTTCACCGGGCTCACTCGCTTGTACTGCTTCGTCTCGATTTTCTTGCGATTTCATTCCATTGAAATATTGTACAGCTCGTAAATAATTGTGAAACAAACCTCGAAAGGTCTTTATACTTTTTTTTGTACGGCGTTTATAAAATATTATGTTTTATTATTCGATTTCGATCGACCGAAAGTAATAATAATTCGCTGTTCGCTTCTTTCGATCAAACCATTTTTCGTTTTAATTTAAAGGCATTCCGCGAAAAAAAACCACCTTTGTCAGCCTAAACAATATTAATGGACGTCATTAATTAACTTTCGCGTTACTTTATGGCCAGATTGATTAGTTTTCACACATTAGTAATTACCTAGGTACTCGTTTCCTGTGAATAATAATCAATGACTTAACGTGCCTCGTACGACCGACGAACACAAAGAAAATACACGAACGTTCTTTTTTCGAATAGAGAAAAATAAGGTCGGTTTCCGTTTTTTTTTTTTTCATTTATGCCCAGTGGTCCTAACGGGACAATAGGCAAAGCCGCGATATTGGCCAGAAAAGGTTGCAGTTGACAATGGAAAATCACGGACAAAAGTTTGCCATTGAGGCAGGTCCTCCGGCTGATTTTATCAAGGAAAAATAAAAATAAACAAAGAGGGTTAAGTTTCAGGTTGGCCGCCGGGGAACGATTAGGATTCATTCTGTACCTACCTATAATTTTTTCTTTCTTGGACACTATCAAATTTCACAAGCTATTTTTGGATACCTCGTGGGCCGACCAAACACTACCGTTAACATGGCCGTTACACCATTGCCTTGTATTATATTAGATGATAAAATAGTTTATAAGTTTTTAGGTCTTGACTTGTTTAATTATTAGTTTCAGTAAAAAAATTATTAAATAATTGTAAAATAAAAAAATACTGGACACAATTACTGCAATACAATATGTACAACCGCATGTGTTTGTATTTAATGACAACAAACATTAGTGCCAGCATGGTGTTCTAATAAATATGTAAATTATTTTAAGTCGAACACCTATTCTTACACGACTTGCTCGTAGAAGTATTTCATGTGACAACTTTAATAGTGTTGTTTGTCGTTAAAAACATGATAAAAGACATATTTTTAAGTTGGCAGCAATGGGCGGTACGTTTACATTAACGTAATATGGTAACTCATGGAAAAATGCAATTCTTTGGTATCACCAGTTCAGTAGTAGTTTTGGCGGGAAATGCAATCTCTTTGAAATTATTAACCAATATTAAAATGTTGATTTTGTATAGTGTACCTAGTGTACAAATTACTAGAAAACGCTCGTCTTTTGATGAGAACTCTATTTTTTTTCTTTTACTGAAACTTTTACTCGCCTCCTCGTAAAGCAATTTTTTATTATTATTATTGCATATACCGACCGAGAATCACAGCTGGGAGGCAGGGGAGAGGGGGGCTGAAGCCGATGCTATTCTTTTTTTTTTGGCACCGATTTTTTATTTCCCGGACGATTCCATAAAAAAATATTATTTCCGCAGCCTCTTCCTGAAACGTGACGTTTAAAATATATACTTTTACCCTGCCCTGGCGGGCTGTACAAGTTGTGCTCTGCTCCTATGCTGATTTCATTTCCATGATATTGTTAACAGCTATCGTTTTCTTGAACTGCCGAGTGTGTCTGAGCGTAACAACGGCGAGGGTGATCGTTTCCGCCAAACCGGGCTATTGTTGTTATTCTTTTTACTCGCAAAACCTAAGATCTTCGCCAATAAAATTATGTTTTATTCATTGCCGACTAAAATAAATATAAAACACCCACTTAAAATAATAATACCGTTTTAACGAGTGCGTTCGGTTCATGTGATCTCCACAACTTCTCATTTCCCACCAAACTAATCATTTTTGTATAAACTTACCTAGTTATTGATGTTTCAAGTTTAGGGCAGGAGGAAAGGTGGACAGTAGTATTATTTTTATCTCCCCCCCCCCCGTCTTAACTTTTAAAACTCTTACAACTTAGAAAATAGTTACTTCCTTCGCAACATTTTACTTATGCGACTCCCTGACAAATCTCGAGGAGCCCAACAGGATGGGTGGTTTAAATAAAAGAGTCCCGAGAATCCGCGAAACGGGTCAATTACCAGTGGCGGCAGAGTATTATACTGTAAAGGGTCATTATTGACTATTAAATCAAATCCATTGTCACCGTTGAATATTGTATGTGCGTACAAAGTAGTTTTAGGGGATTTCAACTGGACTGCTAACTGCGGTTTCGAACTACTTCCAACAAATATGTTAATTTAACCTGATCTCGAGTACTTGAATTTCATCCGCGATTCTTGCGACCTCGAAGCGGTGAATATCTAAAACCTAATTACTATTTACCGAATACTTGTTTTCAATCGACTCATGCCCGGTTACACCAAACTTGTTGTTATTTATTGATAAATTATTTACCAGCCTAATAAACTAACTTTTGTTAAACTAACATGTGTTAAACTTACGAGTGTTGCTCAATCGTTGTTCTATATTCAGGTTATTACCAGTAAACTGGTTATCGAATAAATGGTATCAGCAGTAGGATGTAATACTATTATCATACAGGGCCAAATCAATGATAAACTGATAACGCACATTTCCATTATCACCACTTTAACGCAAATCATTGATAACGAAATTTAACTATACATACATTTTTACACCGCGATAAACGACCCTGTAATTATTTAACTCGTGATAAAGTAGGTACATTTTTGACAACAGATACAATTTAAAACATGGTTTATGCAACAGAATTTATTTCATTTCCAGTTAAACGAGTTTGTCTCTGTGTAAATATTTGGTGCAACCCGCCATCGGAATCCAAAAAATCATCGTCGAAATCAGCAGTTTCTTTTTCTTGTGTTCACCAACGGACACTTGAAATATTCAACGACTCTGTTTTGATTAAGCAATCTTACGTCGAATTTAAAAATGTATAAGGGAGTTTTTTATTTTTTTTTTTTAGTATTCGCAGTGGTTCATTCATGAATACAGTGCAACACGATGGTAAACGCGAAAACCCACTTGAATAATAGATACAGTATTACGTTGTTAACTCGCAACACCGTCCCTCGAGGATACAGATCTGCTGTTCGGTTTACTGTGAGAAGTGTTCAATATTTATTTATATACAAAAAACAAATTGTATCATTCAAACTCGCGTAAACCGCGTCTCCGCTTTTTGTTTATTTTATTTTTCCTGTCGGACAAATTTACACAATGTTCAGAATTTCCCCATGTCCTACGGGCTGTGAGTTCACTTGCCTAACGACTAATGGACTTTGTATCTTCAATGCGTTCCAAGACGAAATGAAGATGGTTAATTTTAAGGCTCGTTCTAGATTTACTTTTGGTCT